TCCAGAATTTTGAATTATCCAATACATATTTTTCAACACCTGTCCTAAGGTGTCTGGATAATTCTTTAATATGCACCTCTTACTCCTTTCTGGTACACACCTTTACAGCAACCTCATTCAGTAATCCTCTACCCTGTATTGGGTGAACAATAGTATTTAAAAGAAGCAGAACACAAGATATGAAAAATTATATGCCAAACATTATGGAGAAGACAGAAGTTATGATTGCTAGCTAAACACAGGAAAGCTTGGATATTTCCATCAATGGTGTCTTGCTGAAACAAAACAAGAATTCATATATTTGAGCAATGTTGTCTTTAAAGATGATATAGTTCTCACCAGAGTGAAACCGTTACTGTGTTTGCTTCTTTTTTATCGAAGAGTGTAGAATGCTGGTGAACCAAAAGTTATCTGTGATTGGACTATAAATTTCCCAGAGGAGGTGCTGTTTGTGATTAAGGATAAGGAAATTTGTAGATGACAGATGGCTTACAAGTCAATACCTGATCAATATTGGCTAAGTCATTGTGGAGAGGGGGTATGGTGATGAAAGATCCAAAGCCTCTAATGAACCTTGGCTAAAATCATTACTGATAATGTGTGTCAAATCATCAAATAAATGTATTTCATGAAAGAGTAGACAGAGACTTAGACTCAAGCAGGAGAATATGATCTAAAAATTTCTATATATCTGAACAATTGCTGTATAGCCCCCTTGTTCTGGGGAGGTTTTGGGCAATGGTGTCAATTTGATAATAAAGTTGCATTCTTCTCTCTCAGCTGATGATTGCTAGTTGTTTTGAGTCCAGAGATAAAAGAACTTCAATATAGGGAATTTTAGTCTTAACTATTTATTAATGTCAATGTATAGATCTTCTAACTATCTAGTGGGGTTGCTCCCTCAATGGGGAGCCATTTCAGACATGAAAGAAAACACGTCTACATTGTTTGACAGTTCAGAAACAACTCACATTTCTCTATCTATCATTCTCATGCTCGTTCAGCCAATCAAAATCGACTTCTTTCTTTTGTCTTCATATCTGACCCCAAAAGTCAACCTCAAGAAGTTCGAGCAGAGATACACTTGCTCTAAAAAATAATAGTCTACTGAACCATTATTTAACACAATGTTGGGTAGCTAAATGACAAAGTGTGAAAAATTCTATGTAACATGTTTCATCCTCTAATTGTTGTTGGCACCTGCTTGCATTCAAGCATCAGGATCATCATCCTCTCTCCCTTTCTCTCTTCTGGTGGCAGTGGCAGAGGCTGCTGTGAATCAAAGAGAGTTTGATGAGGCTATTTAAATTAATTTGATTTTCATGGACAATTCTGCACAATGAAGCCCAGACACCTGTCCAGAAAACCTCCCTTCTGGCTCAATCGCTAATACAGGGGTCTCAAATGCACTGCCCATAGGCTCTCTTTCTGCAGTCTGTGAGGAACCATTATTGTGATCAATATTTTCCACAAATTTTATTAAATTTCTCTGTCTGCCCTTCCATACTTTTGCAGTAGCTGTATTGAACTTAACCTAAGTGGAAACAGAGAGTCAATCAATTTTAAGATCAGCAGGGTCTATTCTATTTCCTCTCCAGGGAAGGAAAGAAAACTGGACATCCCCACCATCATATATTCTTCCTCAGCTATCAGACTAGAGAGTATAAATGACAATTTAGGGATTCAATTATCCAGAATTTTGAATTATCCAATACATATTTTTCAACACCTGTCCTAAGGTGTCTGGATAATTGAGAAAGTACTAGATATGCCACAGTTTTTCTTGCTTCTCTTCTTCTTTGGATTGGTTACTCTGCTGTTGCTAATTGCCTGTCTACTGATATTCTTCATTTTACTGGTGCTGGAATTGATTGCTTGTCTAACTTTTGACTCTCAAATGACAGTTTCATCTTCCTCCTGGTATCTGAGGGTAGTGGTGAACAGAGATTTTGTAGAAGACAAATAGACTGAAGAGAGACCTCAACTAGGGTATGTCTGGTATAGGTAAGTTTTTTTCTCTCTTGAATAATTGGCTGCTTGGGGAAGGCATTCTCTCAACATAGATGGCATCACTGCTAAATCTATGTGACAGTGATTGTGCTAATTTATATGAGAAAGATTAAATCTGTGGCTGTGGCTATAGGTATATAAAACAAATTTTTTGTGTCAGGGGATAGGTCAGATGGTGCTGAGGATTAGGAGAGAACTACTTGGATTTGGATCATTTTTTTCTACAGGTTGCTCCTGCTGGATCTCAGTTTGGTTCAGGAGCTGACGATATTCATTCCATCTGTCTCTAATTTCACTGTCTTCATCCAACAGTTACCTTTCCTTGTTATTGATGTCTGTGGCTTTTAGCTATATATCACACTGAAACACTGTTTCTTGTATGATCACCAAAGTTAAGCAACATTGAACCTGATCATTATCTAGATGGGTGACCACTTGGGAGTACCAGGTGCTGTAACCTTGGATGTGTAGGTGGTGCAATAAATAATGGATTAAAATTGGAGAGCCAAGTCCCAATTCCAGTCGGGTTCATTATATTCTTACACGCAAATACTCTTAGGAAAGGTATGAATGCACCTCTTCTCCTCCCAGCTATGGGATAATTAGTAGGGTTATTATCTCCAAAACACTCTTACAATCTAAAAATATTTATGGCTTTAAATAACCTGCAAAAGGTTAATATGCTGTAAAATATAAATAAATCAGTCAATCAATATTGATGACTGTTGTGAGGTTATAAGAGTAATCTTCCTCTCTCATTGTTTTCTCATTCTTGTAAAACTCTATTGGAGAACATTTCTGATACTGTTCTGATAAGTTTTTTCTGTTTCTATTGATCTTTGGTTGTTGGTATTTATACTTTATTGTAAGAATCAACTTTTGTAAATTTTCATAAAAAGCAGGAATTTATATTCCTAAATATTTACATAAATCTTGTCACTTTGATCATAAAGAATTCATATGACCTAAGAAAACAGTAACTGTGGCAAGGAATGCCTTGCAAATTTTAAAGGCTCTAAAATGAAACTGCTATCATTAATCACCATAGAGAACTTTTACTGACATTCATCAGCATGGCTGATGCTAACCTCTTGGAGAGCAAAACTCTGCACCTTCTTCAGCTCACATTTTCAACTGATATGAAGTGGAAAAATTATATTAAATCAATTGCTGGGTCTACTGTTAGAAAAGTTGGTTCAATGTGTCAGGCTAGACACATTAAAAATCTATCTCATATATTTGTAAGTGGATCATATGCACTGAATATTGCTATCATATCTGGTCTAGTGCTTCTGCAATTTTTTTTTGTTTTTTTAAGCATTTCGCTCCAAGCAAGGCAGGAGTGCCACTAGCATGCAAGGGGGTTACAGAGAGTGAGAGCAAGAGTAAAGAGGAGTGTTTGAAGAAATGATAAAGAAAAGGACGGGGATCAAGATCAAGGCATCAGAAGATGTCAATTGACATTACATTTAAAGTTTGGAAGATTATAGTTATCAGAAAGCAAGTAAGAGGAAGGGAGTTCCACTGTCAGGAAGTGCAAGAAAATCTGTTGGAGTAGAAGAGTCAGTTAGATTTAACTGTTTTGACAGTAAATGGGTGGGACTGAGATGCCAACCTAGTAGCATGTTTAAATTCATGCAGTTGGGACACTAGTGAAAATAGCACATCAGAGCAGTTGCCATGAAAATATTTATAGAAAAGACAAAGGGAAGCCACATCATATCAGTGAGAAAGTGACTGGAGTTGAGATTCCAGGTCAGGATTGATCACATTGCATATCCGTCTTTGGATTTTGTTGAGAACCTTGAGATGAACAGCGGGGAAACCAGACCATATATGGCAACAGTATTCAATGCAAGGATAAATGGTATGTTTGAAGGGTTGACTCAGATGAGAAAAACCTTCTGGCATGACACAGAGAACCAACTTTCCCTGCAGTAGATGTAGCTATTGATTCAATGTAGTTGTTCCACCTCAGGTCAGTGGAAAACATGAGACCAAGAAGATGCAGTGAGACGTTCTCATGAAGTTGAGCACCAGCCATTCTCTATGGCGGGTAAATGAGAACAGTTTCATAAGTTTCAGTTTCATAAGTTCTTGGCTGACTTCCGTCTCGATACAGTCTTTGACTGGTTGCGACGTCTGTCGAACTCTCTGCGTTAGCAGAGAGGAACCTGGACGAAGCTTTGCCGAAGGGCAAGGTTTTTCATCGGGGGGAGGTAGACAGGGCCTGAACCCGTCTAGGCAGGTTCAAAGGCTATATTTTTGGCCGAGCCTACGGGCTCGGAGATACCCACATTAAACCGGCCTTGTGCCATATTCAATCCTCGTGGGTGGATCGATAAATATTGAGAACAGTTTCATTTTGGAAGTATTAAAACTTACAAGACATTTCATGCCCCAGTCAACCACAGATTGAAGGTCCTTTTATTTAGAGATTTTTGATAAAATACAAAAAAGAATCTGCAATGTTATTGGTTCTGACCTGGCATCTTGGCTTCAGTCACTTTTTAACCACTGTAATGTAGTTTCCCTGTGCCTTTTTTAATAATATTTTCATGGTAACTGTTCTGATGAACTTTCTCTTCCACTTCTTGCTTGTGGAACTCTCTTCTGGCTTCTTGCTTTGCAGTTAACTTTGATCTTCAAAAATTTAAATGCAATATCAATTGTTATCTTCTGTCCTCTTAATTCCTGTTCTTTTATTGATCTTTCTTCTTAATAATGTTTTCTTTCCCTCATATTCTCTCACACTCAGTAACCCCCTTGCATCTTAGTGGCTTTATTACCTTGCTTGGTGTGAAATGATAAAAAAGGACATCCACATAAACACACAAATGACAATGCAAATCATCCAGTCCAAGTAAAAGCAATTGTAAGTATCCCTACTATAATGTGATGGTTAACAAGTTCATGTGACAGACCATTTTTATCATGTAGTGAGTTCAAGCCTTACTGAATACTGAGTGTCCCACTACTGTAGCTTTGTGTCAGATAAAGCAGAATTTTGTTAGTAAAAGTTGGGGAAGTAAAAAAAGAAAAGCTGAAAATGAAAGGAGTTGATGAAGATAAAAGGGAGGCGGTGAGAGAAAAAAGAAGATGGGGTAGATAAAAATGTAGAGGAGTGAAGGAGAGAAAACTGAGGAAGAAATAGAAAGGAGAAGGAATAAAGAAAAAAGGTGAAAAGAAAAAGTGAAGTAGATAAAAAAAGGAAGAGAAGTGGAAAGGGTAGAGAGAAAAATAAGAAGAGAGAAAAAGAAAAGGAAGTGGAAAGAAAAGAAGGAGGAGAGATAGTTAAGCAAGAAGAGGAGTATGAAGAGAAAAAGGAAGGAGGAGAACATAACAGAATGAGTAGAGTTAAAATGAAAAAAAGAAGAAGAAAGAGAAAAATGAAACTGATAAGTAAAAAGACAAAATAGGAAGAAGTTAAACAAGAAAAGAAAGAGAAATAAAATGGCTCAGAGAGAGAGAGAGAGAGAGAGAGAGAGAGAGATTAGGAGAAAAAGCATAGAGGAAGAAGCAGAAAGCAAAAGAAGATGGAGAAAGGAAAAAAAAAACTCAAATGATTTGAAAAAAAATGAATGAAAAAAGAAATATTTATAAAAAAGAAAACATTAGTAGAAGAGAGAGGAAGAAAAGTAAATGAAATGCAAAGGATAATGAATGAAAAATGAATAAAAATAAATGGTAAATGATAAAGAAAAATAATAAAACAGAATAACAATGAAAGAAATAATGATGAATGAAAAAATGGAGAGGAAAGAAAAATGAATGAATGAAAGAAATAATAATTGAAAAATAAAAATAATGAAAGAGAAATTAAGAGAAAATGAAGAGGAGAGAATAATGAATGAAAAATAAAAATAAAATGAGGAATGAAAAAGAGATAATGAGAATGAAAAAGAATAACAAAATGTAATAAATGAATAAATGAAAAGGAACAAATAATGAATGAAAAATAAAAATAACAAATGAAGAGGAAATAATAAAAAAATAGGAATGAAGAAAGTAATGACTGAAAAAATGAAGTGGAAAGAGTCATGAATAAAAAATAATAGGCACAACTAAATGAAGAAGAAAATAATGAATTGGAAGATAAAAATAAGAAGTGAAAGGAAAAAGAAGAAAAAATTAATTTTTCATTAATTTAAAAAAACTGATAGGAATTATTTGATTTTTTTTGTCATGCAAAAATGTGTAAAAATGTAAATTACCTCATCTGTGACTTGACCCCCAAAGGTAACCCATGTACCTGCAAGCAAAATGAATTAATTAATATCATTCAGAAAATATAATTGAACAGTTTCAGTTAATTTTTTTTTAAAAGTATAATTTGAAAGAGGTATTAAACCACACACATAAAATATCCTTTTCTCTTCAACAATTAAATTCATTAAAAATTTTATGCTGGCATTTCAAACAGTTTAAATGACCTTCTAAATAGCATTTCCAAAAATACTTTCAGTTTCTTTATGGCCATTTTGTTTTACATTTTAATACCATCACATTTGTTGGCCAATAATGTGAATGTTTTGCAATGCTACTTATGAGAACTACTACTCAAAGGAGACCATTTTGAGTGTCAATCTATGGCTTCATTATTATAATACTAGCAGACTGGACATTGGCATATTTGGATGGACTTTTAAAAAAAAAATAAATTTACATTTTATATGACACCAGATATGTAAATAATAGGTTGTCTCATATAAAATGTTACATTTTGATGAATGCCAAAACAGATTAATTTAGTCGAGATACGCTTTTATTTAATTACCCCTTTAAAAAAATTCTTTGTCTTTTGCCTTAATAAACTATTCAACTGCTTCGAATACTTCTTAATTATAATAAGCTGTCCTGGGTATGATGATAAACTACATCCATATCCTGGTTAAGACGATAAACTATGCCTAACAGCAAGGTCTCTGGTCAGGAGGTTTTGAGGATTGTGGAACCACCTCTTAATTGCTGGTGTCCCCACGTTCACCCTGACCTGGGGTGGTAGCATCTGTTAGGGTCCCAGCTATGGGCAAATAGTTAACCCCCAGACTGGGGTAAAAACATTATGAAAGTGTAAAAATAGGTTTTAATAACGGAAATATTTTTAAAAAAATTATTACCAGTAATACATTTTTGGGAAACAATATTACCAGCAATAAAAATTTTGTTGGCATTAATTAACCCATTGAGGTTGATATGCCGTAAAACAAACCAAACCAAATCAACATATACTGAAATAGATAGACAGATAGATAGATAAAGATATTACCAGCAATAAAAATTTTGTCGGCATTAAATAACCCATTGAGGTTGATATGCCATAAAACAAACCAAACCAAATCAACATATACTGAAATAGATAGATAGATAGATAGATAAAAATATTACTAGCAATAAAAATTTTGTTGGCATTAAATAACCCATTGAGGTTGATATGCCATAAAACAACACAAACCAAACCAATCTTCATTATAATAGAATCTCCTATTGTGCATGGAAAGTGCAAAGTGTTTAAATAAGTGATCTGTGGAAGAGATAACTGGTGAATATGGTAGATTTCCCAAAACCTCATAAACAAAACTATAACTTTTGAATGCCTGGATTAGTCTTGTCTGTTTCTTTTTTTTTTTTTGCATGTGAAATGTTCCAAGTACTCATGAAAGTTTTCTAGCTGTTGTTTTTGGATTTTGTCTAACCAATGCATTCACTTGATCATTTTTTTTCCTCTTTGTTCATTTTCAAAGTTCTCTTCTCCTGAATGAAATTTCTGTAGCTATCTCTGTATAGTTCTGATATTAACAATACTATTGATAAATGCCAAGCTGATGTTAGATTGAGCTTTTGTGGCATTGTGGCCTCATTGCAAATTATGAACAATTGACATTGTTTAATTGTTATCATTTTCTGGAGACTATAAATAATATTTATGAAAACAACTGGCTGAAAATAAAATAACAAGAGGAGATTTGTATGAAATAAAAAAATACTTCTAAAATAATGATGCTAATGAACTTTTGTCAACAGTTGGTAAATAAAAAAAATACAAGATTTTTTTGGGATAACCCAATATGTTACAAATATAAAAAATATATTTCCATTTTTTTTTTGTGTTGGTTTTGGTTGTTCTTTAATATTACACAAATTTTAACATTCTCTGTTGCTTTTATTGAATCTTTGTGCTATTCAGAATCCAATTTCTCAAGGAGTCTTCATCGTAGAATAATTTGAAATAAAATACCACAAGAGCGCTTTGTGTTGAATGTTTCAAATTGCATTGAAAATGAACATTTTCATTTTGAACTAAGAATCAAATTCAGTTCAATAATACATTGCCTCATTCAAACTATTTTATATATTTCTGGAATGAGGATTTTTCATTATTTACATTCAGACTAATGTCATCTTTGTTGCTATTCATTTTATTTATTTATAAAAAAATATTTATACTATTTACATTATTCAGACTATTGGCCTCATCTTTGTTGCCATATTTATTACAGTGTTTTGGCCGTTGTATGCTCTGGCCTTCTTCAGGTGGTTGGAATGTCAAACTGAACTCTTTATTTCCCTCGCTGGGGTAAACTGTTCTAGTTCCATGTGCCATGTTTAATGGATGTTAGTTATCAGTTATCTCCTGTTAAGTTATCTCCCCTCTCCAAGTTCTCCACTGCCTTAACTGGGTATCAGTTCAACATTCCAACCACCTGAAGAAGGCCGGAGCGTACAATGGCCAAAACGTTGTAATAAATATGGCAACAAAGATGAGGACAATAGTCCAAATAATGTAAATAGTGTACATAATACCTCATTTCAGAAATATAGACAGATACAAAAAAATATTTATTTTTATAATGCATTGTTACTATGAATAATAACAATGCAATACAGAAATTTTCTTACTGTTGTGAAACACCAAGTACTGTAAGCAATCTCATACAATCTGAAATATATTTTGGGTTTAAATAACCCATACTAAGTTGATAAGCCATAAATATAATCCTTCAATGATTGTTGTGTCCTCTGGCCTTCTTCAGTGTCTGACTATATTACTCAGTCCAGGGATTGAACTCACAGTTACCACACCACCAAATTCCCAAAACAATGATTTAATCCTTCAAGCTATTATCACACATTCAGTAAAAGTGTCCATACCTTGCAAAACACTGTACCAATATGAAACTGCCATATTGTACAAATACAAACATACCCCTATGGCTACAATTTTTTTCCTCCTCCACTTTTACCCAATACCATCTGATTTCCACCTCATCCTCTCCATGAAGTTATATTTTGAAAGGCAGCCACTTCTACGGCAATTGCATACTGATTAATAAGGTGATACTCTGGCTGCTGTGGAGTTCTAAAAGAAAGGTCTCTACAAGTGCATCAAATGATAGAAGTGTGTAACTCTCTATGTAAGCCATTTGGAGAAGAATTAATCAGTGTACCATTTTTAGTGTCTCTCCATCCACTGAAAATTGGTCACAATAAATCTTTAATAAACAACTCTTGTATATGCAAAACTGATATATCTGGAAGGCCACCAATACTTGTACCTATCCTAATTCCTTAATACTGTTATATTAAATGAAAATAAGGGGAGTATATCTTATATACCCTCAAATATGGCTCACTCATGTACAAGAAGCATGCATGGTGTCCATATATTTCAAGAATGGCACAAGGTTGAGAAACTCTGAATCAGATATTATAGTTAACTTTAGTAGCATTAATAGCCAGTAAGATTTATTGTTTATCTCTATTAGTAATCAGATTTTATGCTTATTTTATTCATATTATGAGCCAATCAGATTTAATGTATTCATTTTATTAGTATTAATATCCAATCAGATTTAATTTTTATTAACAGTTTTTATGTTTACCTTTATTATATTACTAGCCAATCAGATTTAATGTGATCCTTTATTCATATTACCAGCCAATCAGAATTAATGTATTCCTATATTAATATTAATAGCTAATAAGATTTAATGTTTATCTTTATTATTAATCAGATTCTATGCTTTCTTTTGTTTATATTACTATCCAATCAGATTTAACATATTCCTTAAAAATGCCTTTGAGCAAGTGAAGTATATAGGTCACAGTGATGATCATCCTTCTTTTTTTAACCTCAGGGACTGGTGCTACAAAATCACAAAGAACTGTACAAAATAACAGAAACCACATCACTTGAGGACTACCAACAGTAGCAACTACTAAAATGGATGGCACATATAACTCAAAGATAGAATAATGGCATAATCATGTTGACATTCCGCACTACTTCAAACAAAAGGTTAGGAAGGAAGGAAGCAAGCCCCTATCATTATTAGAAAGAGTAATAACATTATTTACCTTATTCGGACTATTGTCCTCATCTTTGTCGCCATATTTATCACAACATTTCGGCCGATGTACACTCCGGCCTTCTTCAGGTGGTTGGAATGTTGAACTGAACCCTTTATTTTGCTCACTGGGGTAGACTGTTCTAGTTCCACGTGCCATGTTTGATGGATGTCATTTATCAGTTATCTCCTGTTAATTTCCCTCTGAAAGTTCTCCACTGCCTTAACTGGGTATTGAACTCACACTCTTTGGGTCCTGTCACTGGATCTAACCAACGCTTTTATCTACTGTGCCATGTGTCCTCAAGGACACATGGCACAGTTGTGATAAATATGGTGACAAAAATGAGGACAATAGTCTGAATAATGTAAATAATGTACATAATACCTCATCTCAGAAATATAGACAGACCCAGAGTAATAACAGTTAGTGGAAAGTTAGTTCCTGGAAAACTGCTTAAGAGAAAGATTTCATACGTCTCAAATAAAGGCTGCATTGGCTGCTAGGTAAATGAATAATGAATTTTTCCTTATAAGGAAACAACTAATATTACCATTATTGTTTATTAGTATTAATATTCAATCAGATTTAATATTTATTAGCAAATGGTTTTGTGTTTACTTTTATTCATATTAATAGCCAGTCAAATTTAACATGTTCTTTTATTAGTGTTAATTGCCAATAAGGTTTTTAGAAGTATAGTGATAATGCCACTTAGAGCAGTGTTTTAAAAAGTGGCTGCCACTAGAAACCAATGTTATTTAAAATAGATATTTACTAAGCTTACCTTTGTCAGGTAAAAACCCACAATATATGGATGTCTTTAAGGATCAAATTTATTTCACTCACTAATAGTTAAACAGACAAGTTTACTAAGCATTATTTAAATCAAGGATCCCAGAG